TGGCTTAGCCAACAAAGAGGACTATGTTAAAAGTGACTTTAGAACCAAACACAGAAAATGAGAAGAAAGATGAATGTAGTTTAGTTCTGATGAAACTGCACATAAAGCTTATAAAAGTTTGGAGGTGAACATGGTTTCAATGTAAGGAAACAACGGAGGAAGAAATAAAATGATAAGGTAGTAAGCTTCTTTATGTTTGCTCAAAAGAGGGTATTGGAAGGAACCTAAGATCAAGACATGTTATTCACAATCAATTACACGATGTGGTTGTAAAGTTCATATGACTTGCTACCTTCAGAAGACGGAAAGATATAAGATTGTGTCTTTTAACCAGAATCATAACCATAATTTAGTGAAGACGCCTATGAAGCATTTTCTTAAGGGAAACCGGATGTTCTCTGTCGCTCAAACACAACATGCTAATGATGCCGAGATGTCAGGAATTTCACCGAAAAAAACCATTGAAATGATGAGTAGAGAAGTTGGGGGTCGAAAAAATCTTGGATTTTTGGAGAAAGACTACCGAAATTATATTTACCGAAAGCGAATGAAAAAAATGGTAAAGGGAAATGCTGGAGCAGTTTTAGAATACTTTAAGAAAAAAAAAAGAGGATAATTCATCTTTTTTTTTTATTCAATGCAATTTGATGAGGACGATATGATCACGAATATATTATGGGCAGATGATCGGTCTGTAAGTGATTATAATCTTTTTGGAGATGTCGTTTGCTTTGACACAACTTATAAGACCAATGAATATGATAGACTATTTGCTCCATTTGTCGGGGTCAAGCATCATAAGCAAACTGTTGTGTTTGATGCTGCTCTCTTATATGTGAAACCACTGAGTCATATAAGTGGCTTTTCGAGACTTTTCTTGGAGCAATGTTTGGAAAACAACCAAAAACAATTTTTACTGACCAGTCTGCAGCAATGGCGGATGCAATAGTGAAGGTGTTCCCTGAAACAAAACATAGGTTATGTGTTTGACATATTTACCAAAATGCTGCAAAAAGAAGTTAAGTCATGTATTTCATGGGCCAGGACAGTTTGCCACAGATTTTGGAAATTGCATATATGACCATGAGGAAGAAGAAGATTGGCTATTGGCATGGACTAATATGCTCAAGAAGCACAATTTGACAGAGAATAAATGGTTGAAGAATGTGTTTGAGGTGAGAGAAAAATGGTCAATGGTATATGGACGTCATACTTTTACAGGAGATATGGTGAGCACACAGCGTAGTGAAAGTATGAATAATATTTTGAAAAGATATTTGAAGAGCAGTTATGAGTTCTTGTCCTTCTTTGAACACTATGAGGGAGTGTTGGATGATCGACGATATAACGAATTAACTGCTGACTTCAAAATGATGCATACCTCGTCGGTATTATCTGCTACTGTAGAGATATTGCAACATGCAGAGGAAGTGTATACACCCAAAGTTTTTAGGTTGTTCCAAGAGCAATACACAGTTATCAGTGATTATGTTGCCATAAAGGTCAATAAGTTTGAGATGGTGTATGAATACAAAGTATCTTATCGTGGTGGACCGCGAGAGCATTTGGTTAATTATGATGCTACAAACCAAGTGATACAGTGTAGTTGCATGAAGTATTCTTTTGTTGGGATCTTATGTCGTCATGCATTGAAAGTGTTGGATAAGAAAGGTGTTAGAAGAATTCCATCTAGCCACATCTTGACTCGTTGGAGTAAAGAGGCAAAATCACGAAGCATATCTTCTTATCGTTTAGAGACACCTAATGTTACAGTAACGCAGTCGATTGGAAAGCGTTAGTCATTTATGTCGCAATTTCCGTGAGATTGCATCTGTTGCTGCTAAACATGTAGAATTGACCATGTGTGCAAATGAAGTTGCATGTCAGTTGCTTCAAAAATTACAAGAAAAGAAAAAGGAACTTGTGAAAGCTAATGCATGGATGCTCCCAACTTCAAATGTTGAACCTGTGGAAAGAGAAGAAGAAGCCGAGGAAGTTCCAAACGTACGTGGAATTAAAAGAAAAGCTACTGTCGGACGACCAAAGAACAAAACAGTCGGACCCCATAGTCGATATTTTGAATGTTCTTGAAACGAAAAAACGTGGTACATCAAAGAAAAAATTATCATTTCAGGTACTTGATAAATAATTTTTCTTTTTCGTTTATGTCCAATTTCAACCGAAACATGACTTAATCAATATATGTATGAATATTAATTACAATGTAAAATCGATAAATGCTTCAGGGCTTTACTCTTACTCCCGATACCCAGTTATCTGTTGCTACTCCCAATCTGACTTTAGAGACGAGCCCATTTTTTTCACAAGTGTTGCTGGTAAATTTTTTATTGTTTATATTTGAATTATCTGTAAGTTTTTCTTTATGATCTGAAATCTTATATTTTGTAGGAATTTGACAAGAACTATGGTGAAGGAAACTAAAGAGAGAGACACCTGAATGAGACAAGAGTTAGACGTGAAGAAGACAAGAGTTAGGGTTATGACTTTTATTTATTTATTTTACTTAGGGTTAATGATTTTTAAAATTTAGATTTATGATTTTCACGTGACACAATTATTAGTCAAAAC